TTTGCTTCTTCCACGTCTTCGCTCTCTATATCTCCTTCACGATCTTTTTCGTTAAATTGGAAAACCATGGGCAGTATGTAGTTAGTAACAACCACCGGTGGCAAGCTTCCGAATTGGATAGTCGTAGCAGGCGCTTGGCCGTCCTCATCGTCTTTGTCACCCCCATTGAACTTGGAGTTGGGCAGATCATCTTCAAGCATATCATCTTCCGCATACTCATCTTCATAGTCGCCTTCTTCTCCTTCGAAGTTATCATCAACCCCTCCTGGAGCTTTGACTTCACTCTGACCTTGAACTTGCTTGCCTTTGTCTATTACACCCACTTTGAACCCTGTGGTCTTGGAGTTGACCAGCTTGAGATTTGGTTGAAGACTACCTTCTCTCCTCCATTGTGTCACACCCCGTATGTTTCCACGAGCCATTGGCAATTGGCCTTGACGTGCTTGTGCGTTCTTGCGAAGGAACCTTCTTCTTTGGGTCCTTGTCATCTCAGCCACGGCTACTGGTTGTTGACGACGAGAATCATATGTATGCCATCCACCACGTGGAACATCTGGCATCTTGAATGTTCTCCTCTTTTGGAAAGGAGCATGGGCGACCCATTGTCTCGGTTGCCCCCAAGCTGGTTGCTTCACTCCTTCCACCTGTCTCTCGTATGGCGGGTACCTCGGCCTTGGCCTATTGGGAAAACCAATTCTTTGATGAATCGATGGCCTCGGCTTCTCTTCGTCAAGTTTGAGACTCTTCTTGCACTGAGCACACAACTTGTCAACTTCATCAGTCAACGTTGCGGCCGGGCTAGCCTGTTTGGTACCCGACGAGCTCCCTTGCTCGAAAACCACATTGGGACTCCTTCGAGGCGGCGTTGTATCTAACACCAGCTTAAAACGTGGCAATTCGACTTTGGAGAAGTCTGGGTTGACCATGTTGACACCAAGCACTTTGGGGAACGGATCAGTGTCCACCAACATGGCATCCTTCTTCGCCTCAGGGAACTTGATGCGTCCCTTATCAATGGCATCCTGCAAGACATTACGGAACACCACACACGAATCAGTGGCATGTGACATGCTATTATGCCACTTACAATACTTTTTCCCTTTTAATTTCTCGGGTGAGGGAAAGACATGCCCCCCTGTCAACTTGACTTGACCATCCTTATAGAGTTGGTCAAAAATCAAGTCTGCCTTGGAGACGTCAAAGGAGTACTTCCTTGGCTGAATGGGAGCACGATTGGGTCTCCCCCCTTGTGGTCCCTCTTCAACTTTAGACAAGGAAGCACATATGTATGGCTTCCCTGGAGTTATCTCAGCCAAGTCTACCTCAACCTCATTGGCCTCGTGGCCAATATGATTGATGGTATAGTCTAAGTTTGGGAAGTATGGTCCCCTTGATGCACTCCTACGATTCTCTTCCTCATGTAAAAGAGACTCATACCTCACAGCACAAGACATGAGTTGAAATAAATCAGAGAACTCCCTATCTTGGAATTTTTTCCTTAGTTCAAAACTCAAACCCCCTTGTGCCAGCTTGACGAACTCCCTCTCCGTCAGATTAACAAAGCAACGGTTACGGGCATTCTTGAAGTTAGTCAAGAAATGCTCAACCGATTCCCCTGGCTGTTGGCGCATACGTGCCAAGTCAGCCATGGACACCTCGGGCTCAGATCTGTAAAACTGAGCGTGGAAGACTTGTTCCATCTGTTGCCAAGTCTGGATGGAGTTAGACGGCAAGTTGACGTACCAAGCAAAAGCTGGTCCTGTCAACGAGTTTCCAAATAGTCTTAACTTAACAAAATCTCCTACATCGCCACATTGGACAGTGAAACGTCCAACGTGCTCTACAGTGGACTGATCTCCAGTCCCTGTGAATGTGGCAAACTCGGGAACTCTGAATCCCCTTGGAAATGGGTAAAGTCTATCTACCCATTCTGGGTACGGCTTACGGTATACAGGTGGCATAGCAGGTCTTACTCCCATGCCAAACTGCTCCGTGAGGAGTTGAGCCACCTGATCTCTAAGAGTGTTGGCCTCATGCCCTCCTTGTTGCCCCGCATACGGTACAAACCCAATGGGGTCCATGCCATGCCCATTGAAATGGGGTGGCATTGGAGTCGGGTAGCCTCGAGGTGGGATTTGATCCATGTTACCACCTAGGCCTCCTCCTACTCCCAAATTCACCGGAGCCACGTAGGGTCTTGCCTCCGGGATAGAGGGACGAGCACCCACTTGCACGGGTGACTGCTCAACTCGAGTGTTGAACATGGTGGCGAGGTTTTCACCACGCGGGGGTACCACTTCCACTCCCACGCGTGCCTGTGACGATTCCCCCACTTGAGTTGTAACAGGAATCTCAACATCGCCTACTCGACGTGGAGGTGGTTGGCTTGCCGTTTGAGGCGGCAAGGTCTCTTGCCGTGGTTGGCCATTCCGACCACCGGCGGGAGAAAGAACACTATTAGTAGGCGTTAGGCCTATGCCGTCTAATGGCAAAGCTCTTGACTGCACTACTGGTCTACCTAAAGACTGTCGGAGTTGATCCACCTCATTTGCATTTTTGTTGACTACTTCAAGCAATTGACTAAAACGTCTATCTAGGCGAGAATTGAGACAGTCTATCTGAGAATTTACCTGATGAGTATTTGCCCGAGTCTCTTCCAACATGCGGCGGTTCTCCATCTGCATTTGGCGGTTCTCCTCCGTGGCTTGATGGGTGTCAGCCACCATCTTGCGGTTCTCCTCCATCATCTGACGAAGGGCCCCCACGGCTTCACCAAGATCTCCACCAGGAGCAGTCGCCACCAAGGTCTCTGCTCCACCATTTCCTCCGGCAACCGCGTCAGATGCTTGGCCATGCTCGATGTTGGCCACCTGATCCTCCACGAATCCAGCCGGAACGTCACCTTCCAGATTCCTCCGCCTCGGAGCCATCGAATCGACCACAAGGGTCCCACCAGGTGTGCCAAATTTGTTTCCCTGTGAGAAACTTGTGTTGAAAATAAATTGATTGCACCTTTGACTTCTTTGGACAACGATCACTAAACACGGTTCACACCTCTTCAAACACAGTTCGAACGAGGGTGTTCGATGTTTACACGACTCTCGAGACAGATCTACATTAAGTTACTCCTACTCCTATGGAGGTTCTGAGAGAGCTCCAGATCTACGACTATTGATAAAAATTTGCAGAGGAAAGATAAGATTGATAAAACTTGACAAGTGGTGTCGAGTGGTAATTTTTGCGGGCCTTTTCTCTGTCGCTCTATCCTCTTATTTATAGCCTTGAGTGGGTAACTGTCGTAGAAAAACTGCCTCGGATAACTTCCAAAAAGAACTGCTCCTTGCTTCTTCGGAACGTGGCTGACGTGTCCTTTGAACGTGGGATGAGTAGCAGTTATCTCTCAACCGCCTATGTGCCTCTCTTGAAACCGTCGTAGGAGCTTGTAGCATGCCTCATATATCACGGTCATGGACTTCTTTACTCATGTCCATGGTCCTCTTGGGACTTAGTCTCTAGTGATATAATATTTCATCCCCATGTCATTCTCCTTCGCGTCCATGGCCCCTCTCGTGAGGCGGCATGGCCTCTCAGAATTATCATATGGCATGGCCTCTTGTTTGCACCCATGGACCTCTCAATCATGGACATGGCCTCCCTCATGAAGCAGCAAGTCCTTCCCTATACTTAGAATATTTTCGGTTATTTGATTTAGATAATGAGGCGGCTTTGCTTCTTTATTCGCAACCATGGACTTCTCATTCATGTCTGTGGCCCTTTCCGTTGGACGGCATTGGCCTCCTCATACTTAGTCTTTTCACGGGCCCAAGTCCTCTCGACTCGTGTCCATGGCCGTCACATACGACACGGCCATGGACCTCTTAATCATCCACCTGGCCTTATATTCTCATACTTAGAATATTTTTTGCCATACCGGGCCTTCCTTGAGATAGCATGTGCTTCTTTATTCTAGATGGACGTGTTCTTCTTCGTTGAGGCGGCATGGCCTCTTCGTTGAGGCGGCATGGCCTCTTCCGGACTTAGTTAAATTTTCACTCCCTCGGTCTTATTGGTGAGGCGGCATGGCCTCTTCGTTGAGGCGGCATGGCCTCTAGATTTCATACGGACGCGGCTCTGTTTGATGATGCGGCATGTCCCTCTTTAGACTTAGTGGCTTGGGCTTAAAATCAATATCCATAAGGCCCAACTTAAACAACATTAATTGTTATAATGGGGGTGGCCTTATAAACTCATTAATTATCTTGTAACTCACCAATGTGGTACAAGACAAAATTTATAGTGTAAACACATACCTTTGATTTTCTTCGAGGTACAATAGAACCGTTCATATATATAGGTGGCTTCCTCGGTGCACTCACAAAAATGAGTTTATACAATGCCCTCAACTCTAAAAGTGGCCTTAAGAGAACGAATTTTATATTTTGATTGGTAGCATTATTGTTCCGATTGGATGATGTAACATAGGATCACAACTAATCAATCCATTATCCTCACTCCTAAACGTTCAATTTTGAACACTGATCCAAAATCCCAAATTATAAATCCTAAACCCTAAGCTTAGATACCTAACCTCTAAAATCGTATAATCAAAGCAAATATTGAATGATTTTTGTGCAAATTCATTTATTTTCTTATTCTTCATATCACAAGCGACAATTAACATCATTCTGACATGAACTATCTGCTCATAATGTAGATAACGAGGCACAAGTATTGAATACACACAAAAAAGTAAGCTCATCGAAAACAAAACTCTTTTTAACCAACAACTTTAGGTCCTCGATCGTTCACAAAACATAAGGGTTCGTGTACACTCTTTCATCTCTATCCTTAACTTAGATATAACAAAATAGGCCCTCCATCGTTCACAATTTTCCCCTCAATTTGACTTGTCAAATATCTTCCCACTAATGTTGTAAGATAGGTTATTCATTTGGCACTCAATAGGGGTTAGATAAGGGAGTCACAGTTAAAATGTAACTGTATCTTTCCTTCTTTTTTTTTTTATAGCATTATGGTCAAAGATTGCGCAGGGTTTGGGAAGTATATTAGGGTCTAATATATATTTCAGAATGATAGTTGGATAATACATAATCGTTTTTCTGTATTAACCACTCCTAATTACAGGAGTAAGTGCTCTTTTAATACTTGCATTGACAACATATTGCAACAAACACCCATATGTTTAGAGTTTTTGCTTATATTACACTTATAGCATATACGAATTAGATCACAAAACATTACATTCTCGTAAACTTGTTTACAATCATATGAAAATTGTATACTCAATCCAGAATCCCATTATTTTTTTTTTCTAAATTGCAAGTTTGGTCACTTGAATTACTAGCAAAGTTCACGTTAGTCACTAGAATTACTTTATTTCATGCGTAGTCACTTAAATTAGGTTAACAGTCCAAATTTGGTCACTGGCCATTAGTCTCCGTTAACTTTTGCTGATGTGGTGGTCAACTCTCATAGTTGACCGTTAAATGGGTGACGTGTCAGTTAACAAATTAAAATAATGTTCCTAAAGTAAGGTACACCTATGGGCAGCTAGAATCAAGCCATCCTTCCAGGGACAGTGAGGTAACCCATGGCTAGCTAATGGCTTATGCTTTATTCTGTACCATGACTGAAGGACACCCCTAGCAAATGTTACGTGCTATAGCTAGGTGTCTTGCTTGTGTGTGGCATGCCATAGGTGATGGTTCGATACCCCTTTTGAGAACGGTTCGTATCTTGGCGCAGAGCTAGGTTAAATCTAAAGGTTATACCACCTCAATTGGGAAATGTAGAACAAAATTAAATTCAACATATATAACAAATTTAGAAAATAAAACAATCAGTAAGAGACTTTTGCTAGCTCCTCCTCTATTATTATGGTTGAAATCCCTAGAGTTGAGATTTTCTTAACCCCTCATCCAGATTTAATTCTGCTCCGCCGCTACTTATTCGCTCCAACGCGTCAGCTTTGGTATATGTTCTACTACTACACAAGATATTAGACCATTTGATGAGAGTGAAAAGGAGGGTAATTAGTTCTTTTATAAGCATGCATATGATCTTTAGTTTTTGAGATTGAGGATTAGAGTTATATTTAGAGCAGAAGTTAGGGTTTTTATAGATCATGGATGGGAGTTATCTTGATATTTCTCAATGCAGTACTTAATGATACTAAACTAAATTGAAATGAAATGCTATGGTTCTGTACGATCTACGTTGCACAATATGTGTATTTGACACAATGCTCCCATGTGGCTAATGCTTAGGAGGACCCGTTCATGATCTTTGCAAGGAGTTTCCACGAAAGTTAAGTTTGTCAAATTTTAACTAATTGTTCTTCCTATGTGCAAAACGGTACGTTTAGCAGGATCACTACCGGGAATACTTGCAGCTAAAAGCAACTGTGGAGTCTCTTCAACGCTCACAGAGGTAATTAGCATGCATGGCATTGCTTCCATTGATCATAGTTTCACTCTCCATGGTTATTATTACTTCCGTTTACTTAAATTCTGATGAAGTTGATCGCTGAGAGTTGAGTAATTGAATTTGGTATATGAGATGTAATCCAGAACTTAATGGTGGGGGTATTGTTGCCATATTACATTTTCTAGGCATATTCTTGGAGAAGAGTTGGTTAGCTTGGGAACCAAAGATCTGGAGCAATTGGAGAATCAACTTGATGAATCTCTCAAGCTCATTAGACTGAAGAAGGTGTGTACTAGTGTTACCTACAAATCTGACCAATCTTTTTTTATCAGCACTTGAAAATTTACTCATTTTGCCTCATCAATTTGTTAGTCTATGTCGTACCTGGCTACATATTGTGTTGGTAGTATTCTTAACATGCAACCCATTCTAACTTCAAACGTTAGAGATCGACTTTACCTATATGGTGATGTGTTGTAAGTGTAACTTTTAATGTGTGGATGCACATTTCTAATAATGTAGATTCATTCTCTTCCTATCATATAGACAAAAGGGTCGTCATTAAACTTCTAATTACACCAATTAAGTCCTTTCACTTATGCTTTTAAGGTTAGTAGAATTCACATTCTGCCACTATTTAGTGGATAATTATTAGACTTCTTGATTGACTTGGTAAACAATGATTAGTCTATCCACATAGAGCAACATAGTTCTATATACTGATCGGATTTTCAACAAGGAGGTCAATATGTGATTATAATTTCCAATAAATAATGTCTATGTGTGTAACCCTAATTAAGGTTTATGATAAAAGGACTTAATTGGCCTTCTCCGGAAGCTGAGGGACCATTTATTTCTATAATTGAGGGACAGGTTAATGCGCAAAAGTTTTAATTGATTAGCGTATGAAAGTTGAAGGATGTAAGAGTTTGAAGGATCCAATGAAGTAGAAGGAAACAGTATAGGGAGTTATTTTGCCATAGAAATTTACTTTCTGCGGCTCTTTCCTTCCATGATACGCCTAATCATGAAGATAGCATGCAAGTTACTGTTCTTTATCCTAGTGCACGTAAAAAGTTCTGAGAACATTAGTTGGTTTTGATGAAGAACCTAGTTATTACAATCTGCTAGCTACAGTTCTGAAAGTTGAACGTTTGTTTCTTTTGGCAGAATCAATCCATTGCAGATCAACTCTCGGAGCTTAAAATGAAGGTTTGGAACTCAGCAGCATCTCCATGCTTATTTATTTCTGATACTCCTTGTTATATCACACCAGGAGACATCTTTATGTGTCGAATTTCAGGAAGAAATGCTCGAGGAAACAAACAGGGCCTTGCGGATTAAGGTACACCAATTAACCAATTTGTGTAGCTTCGTATATATGTATCTTTTTTTGAGATGTTTCAACGTTTGTTTTTGACAGTTGCAGGAGACAGATGCTGTGCTACCATCGTCAACATGGGAAGCTGGGGAGCAGTCTGGTTTGCCGCCCCACCAACAGCAGGAAACGGCGGAGCCACATTGCAGAAACAACCCTTTGCAGATGAGGCACTGATCATCTATATGTACAACCTCTTTTTGGTCACTAGGGAAATCTCCATTTCCTTCGTCTCTTATTGGCTTTCGTGTTTTTGTTTTAATTTGATAGCTGTGGTGGCGTGATGGAGATAGATGACAGACCTTCAGCTGTGGCTTCCAGTTCAGGAAATGTGAATGGCCTCATGAGTCGCCCAGGGTGGATGATTTAGCTTGCTTTTCTGGGGAAATTAAGATGAAGGTACTTGAAGATATATGATGCATGTGTGGTAAATATATAGGAGATCATATTCACAAGGTAGCCTGCTTACTTAATTAGCTGATTGTAATAAAAGTTCAGCCAGTAAAAATTGATATGCGGCTGATCCCCTTTACTGAACCAAGTAATCTTGTTGTGTCTATATAAGTAAAGTAATGTTCCTAAAGATTATAAACGAACCAAGTATATTAGGGTCTAATATATATTTCAGAATGATAGTTGGATAATACATAATCGTTTTTCTGTATTAACCACTCCTAATTACAGGAGTAAGTGCTCTTTTAATACTTGCATTGACAACATATTGCAACAAACACCCATATGTTTAGAGTTTTTGCTTATATTACACTTATAGCATATACGAATTAGATCACAAAACATTACATTCTCGTAAACTTGTTTACAATCATATGAAAATTGTATACTCAATCCAGAATCCCATTATTTTTTTTTTCTAAATTGCAAGTTTGGTCACTTGAATTACTAGCAAAGTTCACGTTAGTCACTAGAATTACTTTATTTCATGCGTAGTCACTTAAATTAGGTTAACAGTCCAAATTTGGTCACTGGCCATTAGTCTCCGTTAACTTTTGCTGATGTGGTGGTCAACTCTCATAGTTGACCGTTAAATGGGTGACGTGTCAGTTAACAAATTAAAATAAAATTTATTTATTTATTTATTTTAAATTTCCACCTACAACTATTAAAAAATAAAAAATAACTTTTTCTAATCTAACCTCTGCTGCAAACACTAGGCCTTATCGTTGCTTGCCATTAGGGATGACAACTTTGCCCATACCCATGGATTTCTTACTATCCAACCCAATTGGGTTGGGTATGAAATCCAAATAGATGGATATGGGTAGTGTTTGATGGGTTTGTATAGTGAGTAACCCATTTATTTTGGGTTGAGTTGGGTTTATATCAAATGGATTTGGGTTTGTACCCATGCCCAAATACAAATTACAGTTTTGTACCTAAACTTAATAGATATGCATATTTAGTACCTAAATTTAATTTTTTGCATATAAGTCCTCAAAATATCGATGGAAAATTACGTTTTGGTACCTAAATTTTTTTGGTCTTACATTTTGGTACCTAAACTTTTCAAGTTTTACAAATAGGTCCAAGTTTTGCATGTGTAGTTAAAACACCCTCAAGTAAATGGATATCCATATCCAACCCATACCCATTTAGATTATGGAAGCAATATCCATACCTTACCCAAACCCATCTATAAACCCCCAAATCCATATGCACTTCACCCATACCCAACCCATTATCAATGGGTCTACTTGGGTTTGGGTATAATTACCCATGAGTGGGTAATTTGCCATCCCTACTTGCCATTCTCCTGCGTTTGTCGTTCTCCTTGTGGGGTTTGATCATGCCTTTCGGTGCCGGGCCTACTTCCGACCGGATTCAAATCTCTCCTAGAAGCGGCTGGTGATGTGGGAGGGTTTCGGGTTGTTAAAGCAAGCTTGCTTCTTCAATCGTAGACGATGATGGTGGTCACTAGGGAGCATGACACCCTCTTCTCTTGCCTTCATTGCTACCTATACCATCCTTTAGGAAGAATATCACCACAGGAGCCAGGACGTACGATATGGAGAACCCATCATCATGGTTTGTATGAGAAGAAGTGAAGACGGAGTGGGAAGCTAGAAAGTGGGGAAATGGATCAGGCCTCTGCCAAGATAAGCAACAGAGGAGCTACAGTAGAAGCGGCGATTTGGACAAAGTCTTGGACACAAAACGCACTTCTAAACCCCATAAGATCATTCATTATCTCTCCGCCCCAAGATCATCAATCCGTAGTTACCGGCGTCCGCATTGCCTCCGATATGCTTTCACTGCGGTGGCGGCGACAACAACAGTAGCGACAATTGGAATGAGGTGGAGGTGGTGGCAAACGGTTAGGTTTGGGTGTATAGGGATTATAGAAAACCCCCTCTTCACCGACGGTCGACGGAAATTAATCGGCGGCCACCCCACGATCCCGTCTTCGTCTCCGCCGCCGTCGCAATCTCCCTCTTCTTCTCCCTCCTCTTCAACTTTTTTTTTTCGTTGAATTACTCTTCCACTTTAGTAGATAGGGATGAAGGTAATTATGTTTTATTTTTTTTAATAATATTAATAATGAGATGAAAAATAAAAATAGTTAAATACTATTTTTTATTTTTCTTAAATTGCCACGTCGCTCATTTAACGGTCAACTATTAGAGTTGACCGCCACATCCGCGAAAGTTAATGGAGACTAATGGCCAGTGATAAACTTGGACTGTTAATCTAATTTAAATGACTATGTATGAAATAAAATAATTCTAGTAGCTAACGTGAACTTTACAATTCAACCTAATTTAATTACTAGTAATTCAAGTGACCAAACTTACAATTTAACCTAAAAAATCTACATGCATTTTTAGGACCAAATGGTGCAAATACCTAGGGCTTAGCTTCTTGTTGTGTTCTACAGGTGTGGTAGGTTACTCTGCTTCTTAGGGGAATGCCCAAGTATGTTGTAGGAAAGCATCCCAACTACACACCCAAATATAAGGTACACGCAAAAAGCTCTCTCCTCATGTCCATTTCCCGGATCAAACAACAAACTCTTTCTCTGCAATATTGAGTTTAAAGTAGCATAAATAAATAAATAAATGGGAGGACTAAGGATCGATGCCAAGGTTGTCAAACCGGTTTATGCCAGTGTGCCGGTTTAGCAAGTGGAATGGTTCGACCGGTGGCACATACCGGTTTGTGCCGGTTCATGCCGGTCAATATTACAAATAAAATTATAAATACTCATTTTAAACATGACATTTAACGTCAATACCTAAACATTTATACTTGAATCCAACAAATAACATCAATATTTAACATTTATACTCATAAAATAAATAATAAAATAATTTTTAACAATTAAAGTCACTAAAATAAGGTTATTTTACTTAGAGAATCGTATATCGATCATGCCGGTCATACCGGTGGTGTCACGCCGGTTTATGACCGGTACGGGTTGAACCAGGTACAACCGGTGGCACGCCGGCCGGCGGACAACCTGATTGATGCACTTGTCTAGGCCCCCCCCCCCCCCCCCACACACACACACATGACACAGCAGAAGTAGGAAAGTAAGCGGCACTAGTCTCCTCTCTGTAAGTGGGCACCGGGCCGTGCCGCCTACGGGCACGAGCACGGTGGGCATGAAATAAATGGACCAGTCCGGCACGAGTATGAATAATTTATGAGTTGTGTCGAGTCTAAATTTCATGGGCACGAGCACGGACACGACACGGTATATAAGTGGGTCGTGTTGGGCCTAATATTTTCGAGACTTTATTGAGTATAAGAACGGACATGACACGAAAATAATATTTATTTGATAGAAAATAAATATAAAAAAATTATAGGTTCAAATATTACAAAACAAGAGTAGAAAAATAATTATTTGTTGTTGTTAGAAGTGTCATAAAGATATATACGTAATTACTAACATAAGTAAAAATGGACAAAGAATTAAACAAAGTCAAATCACACTCACTATACTTCCAATTTTCTTTTCCCCCTTATTTGTTACTTTTCTCAAACATTATCGGTTAATATTATCTTCCCCCGTCCAATTTTCACCTTCTTTTTCATTCTCTTTTGTTTTCGTCCTTTTCATTAAACACGAATACGAGCACGAATAGGCACGACACGATTCGAACCGTGCCCGGGCCTGGGTCGGGCCTAGCAAAGTTAACAGATGAGCTTGCATGGCACGATACGAAAACTAACAGGCCGTACCAAGCACGATACGAAATAAATATGCCCGAAGCGTGCCCGTACCGTGCCGGCCCAAGCACGACCCAACGCCCATGTACACTCTGGCCAACTAGTAGCTATAACCGAAAGTAAACAAACCATATGGCTTTTCTGGTGTATTCATATAATGTACTTAACATTAAAAATAGTCTTAAAATATTAGATTTAAGATTTTAATTGATACTATTAGTCTGATATCATAAAATAATATATGAGCTTATTGGATTGTTTGTTATCCCGTTCCGGTCAAATCTCAGTTCGCATTATACAATCCGGTTTTGAATAAAATAAAAAAAACCCAGACCAAATAACCACCCCTACCAACTAGTAGTTATAACCGAAAGAAAGCAAAGCATATGGCTTTTCTGCTGTATCGCAAACATAAATGCATATAATGTACTTAAAACATTAAACATGGTCTTAAAATATCATATTTAAGATTTTAATTGATACTATCAGTCTGATATAATAAAATAATCTATGTTCAAAACTAATCAATCCATTATACTAAACTTTAAAAATTCAATTTTGAACCTTGAACATCAAATTATAAATCCAAAACCGCTAAACTCTAAAACCTTCAAATCAAAATATATCTTGAATGATTTTTGTGCAAATTCATGCATTTTCTTGATCACCATATCACAAGTTGCGATTGTCATCATTTTGACATGAATCACCTGCCTAAAATGACGATTACGAGACGAGTGCAATGAATGCTAAAAAAATTGAATGCAATGAAGACAAAACCATATATATATATATATATATATATATATATATATATATATATATATTGACAAAGGCTAGTGCTACGCCTAGATTATGATATACATCTTCATTCACAACTGTGATTTCTTCTTTGATGTATTTCAACGAATCAAAACCATCAATTATTATTTGTAGTTTAAAGATTTTCATGTTTTGGGTTAGAAACTTAAATAATGAGATTCGTCCATTAAAAATTAAGATATAAATTTTAAAACCTGAATAGCAAAACCTGAAGCATTATACACATTATATATAGTGCTCCTTTTATCTATCATTTTCCAATCCGAGGGCGTAATTTATAAGAAAAAGAAAATATAAGGACTCAAGCACTGAGTTCTTAGGACCTGAGGGATCAAATTGTAACCTATGTTTTCTAAAAGTTCTTACGGGATGAAGTGACTAGTGAGGGACCAAATATTGTGGAGCGTGAAGCAAATTCCGCTAGTGCCCTCTCTCTCTCTCTCCTCATACAAACTCGACACGTGCACCTACTTCACGATTAAATAGGTTCCGACACCTATTTCTCTTTCTCTTCTTTCTGCTATACTCACACAGTAAATTGCGCAGCAGCAGCAGGCACCTTACCCTTTGCGGCCAGAGGAAGAGAAAGAGAGAAGACTGGAAAAGAAAAGGGTACTCTCTGATTCAAGGGAAATGGGGAGAGGGAGGGTGGAGCTGAAGAGGATAGAGAACAAGATAAACCGGCAAGTCACGTTTGCCAAGCGAAGGAATGGGCTGCTGAAGAAAGCCTATGAGCTCTCAGTTCTTTGCGACGCAGAGGTTGCCCTCATCCTCTTCTCCAACCGCGGAAAGCTCTACGAGTTCTGCAGCTCCTCCAGGTTAATTAATCAATATTTCACTGCCTTCTTCCCTTACACATTAATTTATTTCCCTTACCTTTCTCTCTCTAAAACTTTTTTTTGTTGTTTCTGAAATTAACATCTTATGTGGTGGGTTTCTGCGATTTTCTTTTTCTCGTGTGTGTGGATTAAATGAATCTGCTGCTACTCTTCTAGCAAGATGTGTGTCCATGATTTTGTACTGTTGATTTCCTTCATGGGATCTGCAATTGTGATGTTCGGATCTCGGGTTTTGCTGTGTGTTTGAGAGCGAGAGTGGAGACCATGGTTGTGATTTCTTCTCCAGTTTTTTTCTGGGATTTTGGCTGCCTGCAGGAAGATAGTACAGTTTTTTTCTGGGTTGGGTTGCAGATGTTTAGGAGAATGGTCACTTTATATTGGAGTTTCAAAATAATTTTTATGTTTAAGAGATGATGGCTTTTTTTTTCTTTTCTTTTTTGAAGATCAGAAAATGGGTTACTGAATCTTTTGTTTATTGGATTTTCATTCTAGGAAAGCCAAGTTAACCTGGTGCTCATTGGGATCAGATATAAACCATTTGGTTATATGGATTGTATTTAGTTTAGAATATACTATGATTATTTTGATGACAATAAGAGATCACTAATATTTAGTCCATCTTCAGTTCAAAGTCTTGGGCTCATAATTCTAAATGTATAATTTTTTTTGTATTCAAATTTGATGTCACTGACTGAGGTTTCCACTACTGTGACTTCCCTAGCAAGCATTCTCCTTTAAGCAAGGGGGAAAAACATACATTATCTTTTTTATCTATTGTGTTATGATTGTTTGGATCCTTGAGTTGGACTGTGGTGGAAAATAGGGTGGGTGAATAGGTAGTATTTATCGTTTAAAGTTAATAATCAAATCGTTGACTACGATAGTGGTTAATCAATAATTTCTTAGTGGTTTGGTTATTGGTAAGCTAAATTTGCTTAATGGTTAATCGATAACTGTCTATTACTATAACCACATTATTTTGAGTTTTGATTAGAGAAAATGTCTCAAGATTCAAGACCAATCAAAGTCGCACTTTCATGCAAGCATCCACATTGTCACTTATCTCTCAAACAACCCTGCACCCAAAGTCTTCAAATGTGTTAAAGAGTCAGAACTCGAAAGTTTGCCCCTCGCTTCTGCTCCCCTTTTGCAGTCGATGGAGCGAACCACACACCTTAGTAGTCTATGTTTCTTTAGTGTTTGTGAATGATGATGAACTTGTAGTACTCGTGTTTAACGTATAGCTAGTTGGTACTCGCTAATTGGAGAAAGATGTTTGATTATTTTTAATATAATAAATTGGAATTAAGATTTGTATTAAGAATTCACGATGATTGATATATTTATGTTATTTCTTATCATTATTATTTTATGCTAACACTGAAGAATTGCAGCCAATTTATTTTGAATGATTTATATGATTAGATTTTATTATCAATTGAAAAAGACACGACTAAAATTTAAAATAACAAAATAAATAGTGTCACATATGGAGGTTATTATTGATTAACCGCCAAACTAATTACAAACCGAATCGATCATAGACGATTGATTGACAAAGATTGTTGATAAGTATTTTTTAGTTAGTGTTTAACTACTGACGGACCGAACCGATTAACTCCCATAAAAGAAACATAATATCATCATAATTGTTTTAAAAAGAGAAAGAAAAAGAGAACACGTGTAGCTTAGCTTTATCGTTGATTGAGACCTTGTGTAAACTTATTCTTGTTTCTTATGAATGGCCATAGAGGACAACATCTTACTCCGACCAGTCGACCACCTTAGAACATGAAATTTTTGCAGTGAGATAAGAATATATCTTCTTTACTTTAGAGTTCTTTTTTCACATGGTTGTGTGGTTGCAAATAGAACTAGCAACGTAGCCAAAGTACAGGGACCATTTTAACCTCCCTTCCATAAGTACAAAGAAAACATCAGGATTTTTTAAACGATCTGCTTGCTGCTATGGTACAAACAATACAATTTTACAGAGATCTATGCAAAGTGGTAAATGTTCAGTATCACTTGCAAACATCTATTTCAACTATTTGTACGTATATGTGTGCCACTAGCTGAAAAGGGTTGTGCTTGATTGTAAGTTCTATTACGAGTTTCTTCTCATTCCCACACTTCCAAATGCATTTTATATGAAACTGTTTTTTGGTTTTTTTCAGTATAATCAAGACCATAGAGAAGTACCAAAGGTACACCTATGGGCAGCTAGAATCAAGCCATCCTTCCAGGGACAGTGAGGTAACCCATGGCTAGCTAATGGCTTATGCTTTATTCTGTACCATGACTGAAGGACACCCCTAGCAAATGTTACGTGCTATAGCTAGGTGTCTTGCTTGTGTGTGGCATGCCATAGGTGATGGTTCGATACCCCTTTTGAGAACGGTTCGTATCTTGGCGCAGAGCTAGGTTAAATCTAAAGGTTATACCACCTCAATTGGGAAATGTAGAACAAAATTAAATTCAACATATATAACAAATTTAGAAAATAAAACAATCAGTAAGAGACTTTTGCTAGCTCCTCCTCTATTATTATGGTTGAAATCCCTAGAGTTGAGATTTTCTTAACCCCTCATCCAGATTTAATTCTGCTCCGCCGCTACTTATTCGCTCCAACGCGTCAGCTTTGGTATATGTTCTACTACTACACAAGATATTAGACCATTTGATGAGAGTGAAAAGGAGGGTAATTAGTTCTTTTATAAGCATGCATATGATCTTTAGTTTTTGAGATTGAGGATTAGAGTTATATTTAGAGCAGAAGTTAGGGTTTTTATAGATCATGGATGGGAGTTATCTTGATATTTCTCAATGCAGTACTTAATGATACTAAACTAAATTGAAATGAAATGCTATGGTTCTGTACGATCTACGTTGCACAATATGTGTATTTGACACAATGCTCCCATGTGGCTAATGCTTAGGAGGACCCGTTCATGATCTTTGCAAGGAGTTTCCACGAAAGTTAAGTTTGTCAAATTTTAACTAATTGTTCTTCCTATGTGCAAAACGGTACGTTTAGCAGGATCACTACCGGGAATACTTGCAGCTAAAAGCAACTGTGGAGTCTCTTCAACGCTCACAGAGGTAATTAGCATGCATGGCATTGCTTCCATTGATCATAGTTTCACTCTCCATGGTTATTATTACTTCCGTTTACTTAAATTCTGATGAAGTTGATCGCTGAGAGTTGAGTAATTGAATTTGGTATATGAGATGTAATCCAGAACTTAATGGTGGGGGTATTGTTGCCATATTACATTTTCTAGGCATATTCTTGGAGAAGAGTTGGTTAGCTTGGGAACCAAAGATCTGGAGCAATTGGAGAATCAACTTGATGAATCTCTCAAGCTCATTAGACTGAAGAAGGTGTGTACTAGTGTTACCTACAAATCTGACCAATCTTTTTTTATCAGCACTTGAAAATTTACTCATTTTGCCTCATCAATTTGTTAGTCTATGTCGTACCTGGCTACATATTGTGTTGGTAGTATTCTTAACATGCAACCCATTCTAACTTCAAACGTTAGAGATCGACTTTACCTATATGGTGATGTGTTGTAAGTGTAACTTTTAATGTGTGGATGCACATTTCTAATAATGTAGATTCATTCTCTTCCTATCATATAGACAAAAGGGTCGTCATTAAACTTCTAATTACACCAATTAAGTCCTTTCACTTATGCTTTTAAGGTTAGTAGAATTCACATTCTGCCACTATTTAGTGGATAATTATTAGACTTCTTGATTGACTTGGTAAACAATGATTAGTCTATCCACATAGAGCAACATAGTTCTATATACTGATCGGATTTTCAACAAGGAGGTCAATATGTGATTATAATTTCCAATAAATAATGTCTATGTGTGTAACCCTAATTAAGGTTTATGATAAAAGGACTTAATTGGCCTTCTCCGGAAGCTGAGGGACCATTTATTTCTATAATTGAGGGACAGGTTAATGCGCAAAAGTTTTAATTGATTAGCGTATGAAAGTTGAAGGATGTAAGAGTTTGAAGGATCCAATGAAGTAGAAGGAAACAGTATAGGGAGTTATTTTGCCATAGAAATTTACTTTCTGCGGCTCTTTCCTTCCATGATACGCCTAATCATGAAGATAGCATGCAAGTTACTGTTCTTTATCCTAGTGCACGTAAAAAGTTCTGAGAACATTAGTTGGTTTTGATGAAGAACCTAGTTATTACAATCTGCTAGCTACAGTTCTGAAAGTTGAACGTTTGTTTCTTTTGGCAGAATCAATCCATTGCAGATCAACTCTCGGAGCTTAAAATGAAGGTTTGGAACTCAGCAGCATCTCCATGCTTATTTATTTCTGATACTCCTTGTTATATCACACCAGGAGACATCTTTATGTGTCGAATTTCAGGAAGAAATGCTCGAGGAAACAAACAGGGCCTTGCGGATTAAGGTACACCAATTAACCAATTTGTGTAGCTTCGTATATATGTATCTTTTTTTGAGATGTTTCAACGTTTGTTTTTGACAGTTGCAGGAGACAGATGCTGTGCTACCATCGTCAACATGGGAAGCTGGGGAGCAGTCTGGTTTGCCGCCCCACCAACAGCAGGAAACGGCGGAGCCACATTGCAGAAACAACCCTTTGCAGATGAGGCACTGATCATCTATATGTACAACCTCTTTTTGGTCACTAGGGAAATCTCCATTTCCTTCGTCTCTTATTGGCTTTCGTGTTTTTGTTTTAATTTGATAGCTGTGGTGGCGTGATGGAGATAGATGACAGACCTTCAGCTGTGGCTTCCAGTTCAGGAAATGTGAATGGCCTCATGAGTCGCCCAGGGTGGATGATTTAGCTTGCTTTTCTGGGGAAATTAAGATGAAGGTACTTGAAGATATATGATGCATGTGTGGTAAATATATAGGAGATCATATTCACAAGGTAGCCTGCTTACTTAATTAGCTGATTGTAATAAAAGTTCAGCCAGTAAAAATTGATATGCGGCTGATCCCCTTTACTGAACCAAGTAATCTTGTTGTGTCTATATAAGTAAAGTAATGTTCCTAAAGATTATAAACGAACCTTTTTTAGCTTTATGGCAAGGTTGTCAACCCGAGTTGGCCCGGACCCGGCTTTGAAAATGGGTTAAAATAGCCCATTTGAGAATTAGCTCGGAAATGGTCAAATTCGGGAAAATCCGGAAAAACCCGGGCGGTTGGCCCATCCGAGCGGGTGAGCGGGCTGCTCGTTCCAAAGTGTCGTTGAATTTTTACTATGTTGAATTTAAGTTGATGTTATTTAAGTGTGTTTGAGTTTAACTACGGTTTTTTTATGTTGAATTCAAAATAAATACAATATAATGATTTTGTTATATTTTTAGACTAAACCGAGCTAAAATGGGCGACCCATTAACCCTTATCCACTAGATCGACCGGGTCCGGATCGACCTGCGGGTTGACAACCTTCTTGTATGATCAAAGATCGATGGTGCAGGTTATAAATGAACCTTTTTTACCTTTTGAGAATGACAGTTAACCCAGTGAATGCACCTTGTTGAACGAATCTGCAGCTACTCTTCAAGCAAGATGTATAAAGAAGAAGGGATCTGGGGACTATGGATTATGTCTAGGATAAATCTAATTTTCAGTCTTGAGAGATCTGACAGCAGTGTTAAACCGTTAACAAACTTCTTTTTTGGTTTATCGGATTTTTCTTGCATGGTATTACCCAAAAAAAATAGTTTTAAATTAGTATTCCTGTGGATTAGATATAAAGATTGTAAGTATAATTGTATGTATCTAGGTATTGGTCGGGTTGTCTACCAGCTAGCACGACATAGTTAGACCAATTAGACACGAGTATGGCCGGCCCTGATATTGTAGAGGCCCGGTTCTATAAATAAGATGAGATTCAAATTTTTTTCTTAAAATCTAATAAAATATACATAAATAAAATTATATTATTATTTTCAACTAATATTATTTAAAATAAAAGGTAACAATGGCTCAAATAGAAAGATAAAATTTAAAACGGATTACTTGAGAAATTGAATCAAACAAATCAAAAAGCGAAGAATCCAAATATATTGCTAAGAGGTTTGTTAGAGCAATGTTAAACATTCCTTGGATTAACAATTTTACTAACATACCGTTTGGTATAAATGAATTCCATAAATTTTGAGGAATTTATTTTGAAATGAAATATTTTCGTGTTTGGTATTAAAAAAATTATTTTCAATTCTATTTTTTTATTTATGAATCCAGTACTTTCATTTCATCAAAAAGGGGTTGCTGACGACATCCTTGTCAGCCAGGAATGGAACTAGGGAACAGTTAAAGAAATACTCACAATAACTACCAAAGAAAACCTAAAACAAAGCAAAATCTCGGGTAAGAGACCAGAGTTACAAAGAATCAGCAGACCAAAAGTGTTCAAGGTCTTGGGGGTCTGGAACTCTAGAACCAGAACCATTACTTCACTTTTTTACTTGAGAAACAAGAGCTTCAGCAGTCTTTCAATTCTCAGCAAAAGCTCTCCTGCATCTTTCCCTCCAGGTATGACTCAACAGAGATTGCCAAATCAATCTTCCTGACATATTACAAGATGTTTTAACCCCAAACTTCCTAATAGCACAAGCAAGATTCTCCTCCCAAGTTCGTGGCTAGAAATAGCTAAAATTTGCAAACAGCTTCTGATGGGCAGAGAGGTAAAAAGAATAGACAGAGAACAAATGATCTTGAGTCTCAGCAGGCTGATCACATAAGAGACAAAGATCCGATCCAGCAAACCCCTATTTCTTCATCTTATCTTTGGTTTGTATCTTATTACGTATGATGAGCCAGACAAGAAATCTGTTTTGAGGAATTTAAATCCCTTTCCAGAGAAGCTTATACCCTGCAGATTGTTTTGGCCTAATAACTTCCCAGACCTTCTTTATAGAATAACTCGGCATATCTATATTGTTCCAGAGTAGCAAGCCATTATTCAAGCTAAATAGGTTAGGGATCTTACCTCGAAGTCTTAATAACTTCTTCCAATTTCAAGATCCATCAACATTTACAGTCCAGAAGTCCCTTCCTTTTAGCTTGAAAGCCTGAACCCATGCTACCCACAATGAGCCATGCTGCAACATTATTGCCCAAATTTGTCTGAAAACGCAATTATAGTTCCAGGTGAATAAGTCCCTCAAGCCAAGACCTCCCTTTTTTTTTGGGAAAGGTAAGATACTTCCATGCCATTTTAGCCTTAAGTTTAAGCCCATACCCCACTGATCAGAGGAAGAAACTACATATTCATTCCACCTCTCTAATAACTGTTTTTGGAAGCATGAACACACTCATCCAATACCGAGACATGCTATATAGAACAGAGCTTACAAGCTCAAACCTGCCATCATAGTTTAAAGCTTTGGCTTTCCAACCCTGCACTTTAGCTGTAATTCGATCTATAAAAGGTCTACAAGCATTCACTGAGAGCTTCCCAGCCACTAGAAGCACTCCTAGATATCGCACATGGAGACCACCAAATTGATACCCATATCTGCAAGCCCTAGCCTCCATTTCCTCCTTTTCCAACCCTCCAAAGAATATCTCACATTTACTAGGATTAGACTGGAGACCAGAAAGTTTGTGAAACCCACTCAAAACCCTCTGAACACTCTGAATAATATAGTTTGATCCATCAGAAAAGACCAAAAGGTCATCATAAAAACAGAGATGTGTCAGCCCTATTTTCTTACACATTGGATGGTAAGGGAATCTTCCCTTTTGAGCTTCAAGATCAAGTAGACAGGAGAAAACCTCCATTGCTACAGCAAACAAATATGGAGAAAGCGGATCCCTATGCCTAAAGTCTTGCTTGGCAGGGAAGTAACCAACTAAAACCCCATTGAAAGCAATACTCAACATAAGACTAGTGACACGCATCCGAATCCAATCAACGAACTTACTAGGAACACCAATAGCTGCCAACACAATGAATTTTTTTCTTCCAATTCACAGGATCAAACGCCTTTGTAAGATCAATATTTAAGGCAGACCTAGTGGAGATATTTTTCCTAGAATACTTGTGCACTAATTCATGAGCCAAGAGAATATTTTCTCCTATAACCCACGCTACCCACAAAGAGCCATGCTGCAACATTATTGCCCAAATTTGTCTGAAAACGCAATTATAGTTCCAGGTGAATAAGTCCCTCAAGCCAAGACCTCCCTCTTTTTGGGAAAGGTCAGATACTTCCATGCCATTTTAGCCTTAAGTTTAAGCCCATACCCCACTGATCAGAGGAAGCAACTACAGATTCATTCCACCTCTCTAATAACGGTTTTTGGAAGCATGAACACACTCATCCAATACTGAGACATGCTATATAGAACAGAGCTTACAAGCTCAAACCTGCCATCATAGTTTAAAGCTTTGGCTTTCCAACCCTGCACTTTAGCTGTAATTCGATCTATAAAAGGTCTACAAGCATTCATTGAGAGCTTCCCAGCCACTAGAAGCACTCCTAGATATCGCACATGGAGACCACCAAATTGATACCCATATCTGCAAGCCCTAGCCTCCATTTCCTCCTTTTCCAACCCTCCAAAGAATATCTCACATTTACTAGGATTAGACTGGAGACCAGAAAGTTTGTGAAACCCACTCAAAACCCTCTAAACACTCTGAATAATATAGTTTGATCCATCAGAAAAGACCAAAAGGTCATCATAAAAACAGAGATGTGTCAGCCCTATTTTCTTACACATAGGATGGTAAGGGAATCTTCCATTTTGAGCTTCAAGATCAAGTAGACAGGAGAAAACCTCCATTGCTACAGCAAACAAATATGGAGAAAGCGAGTCCCCATGCCTCAAGTCTTGCTTGGTAGGGAAGTAACCAACTAAAACCCCATTGAAAGCAATACTCAACATAAGACTAGTGACACGCATCCGAATCAAATCAACGAACTTACTAGGAACACCCATAGCTGCCAACACAGTGAATTTTTTTCCTTCCAATTCACAGAATCAAACGCCTTTGTAAGATCAATATTTAAGGCAGACCTAGTGGAGATATTTTTCCTAGAATACTGGTGCACTAATTCATGAGCCAAGAGAATATTTTCTCCTATAACCCCCCCCCCCCCCACACACACACACACACAAATGCAGTCTGATTCTTGCTAATAACTAAGGGGAGAATAACACTAAATCTATTTGCAATTATTTTAGATATGCATTTATAAACTATTTTGCAACATGAAATAGGCTTAAAACATTTCATCTCATCTGGATTTTGGATCTTGGGGATCAGAGCAAGAATAGTTGCATTTACCTCTCTAGGGATCTTCCCAGACACAAAGTAGCTCTGAATAGCATACGTAATGTCAGCACCAATGACCCCCCAAGAAGCTTGGAAAAATCTTACATTATAGCCATCAGGTCCTGGGCTCTTATCTCCATTGAAGCTAAATATCACATCCTTTACTTCAGAAAAAGTAACATGATCACAAAGAGAAGATACATGTGTAGAGTCAAGTGTATGCCTGAGCAAACCTTTGAAGTAATCCAGTGTCTCTTCCTCAACAAGAGTGTTAACTCTCCCAAGCAAATGCATATAGAAATCTACAACCACCCTCCACATTTCTTCCATAGAAGTGACCGTATGACCTAGGAAAATTTTTCGAGAAGTAATTGTGTTTTTTTTAAGCCTTGTTCTCATAGATCGATGAAAGAAGCCTGAGTTTGTGTCCCCCATTTTTAACCACAGATCTCTAGATTTCTGTCTAAAGGAAAACTTCCTCAGCTCTGACCAAATCAAACAGTTCTTTTGTAACCTTTATTTCAGCATCAAATCACATATGACATACAA